ACGTCATGCGCTTTTCCGCTTAGAGTTGACTTTTTTCATCTGGAAGCACAAAGCATTCAATGGCAAGAGCGCGAGGCGCAGCAGGCAGTTAAAACGCAAGCCCCTTAAGTGTCAAGCCAATCGTTGTGCATGCGCAGCTAGAGCAATAATAATAATAATTCCTTACATTTAAACAGCGCTTTTATGGGCACTCAAAGAGCTTTACACAATGGGGGGAATATCCTCATCCACCCCCAGTGTGCAGCATCCACCTGGATGACCATTTTGCACCAGACCGCACACCACACACCAGCTGATTGGTGGAGAGAAGACGCTTAGGAGGTCATGATGGACAGAGGCCAGTGGGCAAATTTGGCCAGGATGCCGGGGTGAAACCCCTACTCTTTTTTTGAAGGACATCCTGGGATTTTTTAACAAATACAGAGAGTCAGGACCTCGGTTTAACATCTCATCCAAAAGACAGCACTCACTGAGCAGAATAGAGTCCTCGTCACTATACTGGGGCATTAGGACCCACACAGACCACAGGTTGGGCGCCCCCCTGCTGGCCTTACTAACACCACTTCCGACAGCAACCTATCTTTCCTATGTGGTCTCCCATCTAGGTACTGACTAGGCGCTGCCCTGCTTAGCTTCAGTGGGTGAACATGTGAGAGTTGCAGAGAGCTAGCTGCCGGCTAACAGTGAATAACATGTTTTAAACAAAATTAGGGCTTAAGCAGCAACATTAATGGCACTTCAGAATTTGTTGCTGATTGGAAATATGTAATTTAATTGTAGGTACAGCAACCGTTTTTTAGATTTCGATATTCCTTTATTCATTTAGGTTGATCTTTGGTCTTGGATGAACAACCCAGATGCCTTGCAAAAATGTGAACAGACTTAATTGAAAGGAACTATGCTAATAATCACACAACTACAGAATCATCTCACAAGAATATATTTCAAACACCTAGCAACTAGAATAATTTTGGCTTCAAATGCTGCATAGAGTGTGAGAAAGAAAGCAAATAAGATAAAATCGTTGAGGTGAAAAAAAGTAACTTGAAAACAGTCCTACACCACTTTTAGCTAGTATTCTCCAACTCTGCAACTGCTATAAAACAGCCAGAGGGAGTCCTGGAATCATCACTGGGCCTGTTTGTGTACATAAATCGCTTAGAAGACTGAAGTGGCCAGTGTGTGGCTGCAAATCCAGTGGTGAAATCCTCCTCTCCGCTTCTTATCTCTGTGGGACACGGGATAACAGAGAGCTTCCAACCCCATCCCCGTAATGGATAGATCACCACAGCCGCACAGCTGCGGCCCCTATTTGCTATCCAAGCAGAATCCTTGACCGCCGAAGATGCCTCACAATACTGATAATGTTGTTTGTCTCCCAATTACCGTTTTCAGGAAGCAATTTGACTAAGATCTTTAAAGCGCAATCACAACAGCAATCAAACGCATTGTGTTCCGAATGTAGCACAATGGTCGAAAGCCCTCATGGATGCTACAGAAAACAAAAAGAGAGCTGTTTATTAGGACTCTTGAGAGGAGGGAAAAAAGCACATCCTGATATGCTGCTGAAGTACAGTAGTCTGCAGAGATGGCAGAATTTGCTGAACGGAGCTGTCAGTGCACGTCAAGTTGAAAGCTGAGGTGGATTTCCTGTCTTTTGACATCTCCTCTAGTCCTAATCCTAGCCTTCAGAAGGCAGCTGAAAAGAAATCCTCATGATAAGAAGCCGTTTCATATCAAAACATCATCGGGACTCAAAGCTGAAAATATTCTGAAATGGGAACGTGCTGATAAAACCACTGGACGCTGAGTGGTCTGGCTGCCTTTTAAAGATGCCTTTTCAAAGTCTCCTGATACTTATCAAGGAAGATACAATGGATTGTGGCTCCGGCGGCCCTGAGAAGTGTCACTAGTGGAATCGGTCTTTTCAGTTGCTATGGAGTCGCAGGTTGGAAAGCCCATGAGACCGGCAGTACTCAAGCAGTGGATGGGAGAAAACCTGAATCTGCGCATAATATGGCGCTTCGGAATAATGCTGACCTAAAAACTCTTTTAAGAGGCACATAAATTATTGTCAAAACTCCTGGAGGATTTTAAGTTCCTGAGGGACTCTGGAGACGGTTACACTTTGAATTTTACAAACATCATTTTCAGGGGACTTTTGATTTTTTTAATAAATGAGTTGTTTTCGGGTAAAAGGGTAATAATTAAACATTGCAATTTTCATTTATCGCATCATTTTTATTAAAACATATTAATCTGCACTTTTATTTGTACTTTTTAGCCTTCACATATCACTGGTGGTTGCACAGAATAGCATATGTCATTCTTTCATTAATTTATAAAGTAAAGAAACCAGTCACTGTTAAGCCATTTTAACCCTATCAACGTCTACCAATGATACATGCCAATAAACTCACCACTATTTGCCCGTTTTCTTGCCTACTTACTTACAACGAGTATCTTTAAAGACTTTCATATTGGCTAAACCGTTAAATCAGTCACTGTTTAGCCATTTTGACCATGTCAACACCTACCGATGACACACTGCATAATATACCAATAAACTGACCACTATATGTTTTTTTGCCTACTTCCTTAAAACGAGTATCTTGAAAGACTTTCATATTGGCTAAACCTTTAAATCAGTAACTGTTTGGCCATTTTTACCATATTAAGATTTACTTTACTTAATATTTTACTATATTAAGTGTTACTTTGTCAAAATTTGCTTTGTGTGAGGAGACAAATAGATCAGCTTACCATAAATCAGATATAATATTCAATAAACTGGATAACCCAACAAAAATGTACAATTATTGGATGCAATTTTGATGCTCAACCCTTACAAGACCCTTATTTATACAGAAACATGCTAAACATAAACATATACAAACATATATGTAGTAATGTTTTTTCAAACTATTTATACCATGTTGTATAACCACAATTTTAGCTATGGTTAGTGTAGCAAAACACTGGTCAGTTTGAAGGTACTCATTTAAAATATTTGGGTTAATAATAACCCAACAGGCAACCCAGTGATGGGTCGTTTTGGCACCAAACTGTTGTTGGTTTATTTTAACTCAATCCATTGAGATGTTAAGATTAACCCAACAATGTGGATTACAAAAATAACTCATTTGTTGGCATATTTTGCCAAAAAGTGGCTTAACCACTATATAATAAATTATTATTATTATTATTATTATTAATATTATTGTGTTGATGTCTCAGCTGGGTAAAGGTGAAAATGACAAGAGAATGTAATTTTTTTAAATGAACATGGATGTAGAGAAAGCGTTTTTGTCCATATATATCTGAAGCGCGCGTTTGTATCATCTTTAATCTACTTTTTGACATTTTAAATTAATGCAAGCTCTAAATTTTAAATGATTAGTTTTCCTAAAATGAATTTACAACTAAAAAGAATACATATATAGTTCAAAGACTTGACTGCTGGATATTTTATTTTGTAATAGTATTGTTACATAACATTCCATTATTATAATATTATATTTGATTGTATATTAAATCATATTAATTATGTTTAAATTGTATTTACCTCTCACCATACAAAAAATGGTAGAAAACCATTTTTTTGGTATATAGTTTATAGATATAATTTATACTTCTAGATATTTATTGGGGATTTCTGGGTGCCCTAAGCAGCCACTTACTTGGCTTATAGGTAAAATCCTCCCCTAGTTAAACCTTTAATAAACTTTATAATGCAAAAACAAGTTATTTACACATTTAATACAGCTGTTCTGTGTCAGTTAAATCAGGTGACTGTTGAAATTCAAAATTTTTAACCCAACTGCTTGAGTTATTAATAAATAACCCAATAAAGGTTAAAAATAACCCCAAAAAAGCACTAAATATTTCATCAAATATATTGAGTCATCCTTGCTAAATAAATGTGTTGGCCAAACAAACAAACAAAAGTCAGCCAATATCTTCACAATATCTTCACCTACCAGCAATTATGTCGATAGAATATTTTTCTATGTACATTTGTGCATGTACTATAATTACATAGGCTCTCTGTAATAACTGATTCTTGGTTATACAGTGATCATATATTTATGCATAATGACTGTTTCCATGGCAACACCATATAACCGACCACTTTCCTAGCTACTTGTGTTCTGTCCATAAGTTATTTGTAAAAGAAAGCCAATCGATATTTTATAAACAAGCGTCGCTTAACTAGCGGGGTTAAGTAACGTTAGCATCTTAATGGAATAAGATATGTCCAGTCAGGGGGTCACTATTCTAAAATAAATCTCTTCAAGCTGGTTATGTCCTCCCATATATTCTGGCCAATCTTCTTTTCTTTATTTTTTATCTATTTTTTTGTACCCGCCATTTTTTTTTAAAAAGTATAACGTTAGGTTATCAGCTAACGTTAGCTAATCTGCGTCTTAGCCTGAACTACTTAGCATTAAAACCAAAAAGTTTGTTGCGAAATGGTTAGTTGAAACAAAATGAGTTTTTTTAAAAAATTTCGCACATATTATCAAGCTATTTTAAAGACTTATATTGATAATATTATTCCATGTCCTCTCGGAAGTCTAAAGTTTTTGGTTTGGGATCTTCAGAAGTAACGAACAAACTAGCAAACCTTCAAATGAACAGTCGATCTCACAGGGGAAAATAGAATAGCCTATTAATGAAATCCAGCTTGTGTGCCATTTATGCCTATGCATCACAAGTTTTACCTACAGAAACAGGGCAGTAAGTTGGCTATTACAAAACGTAAGCTATTTGACTTGTACATACTTACTAAAATACGGAGCAAGTTGCCAAGCTTGTCCGTACCTCACATCTCTGGCATCACCGCCTGTCAAGTGAGTCCAACAATAGAGCTACAAACTTCAGAGTTCCTTGAATTTACCGCTTTATAAAAGCAACAACAAAAACTGCATTTTGTAATAAAGAAAGTGCAGTGATAAAAACGGACGCGTGCCAGAGTGAAAACAGAGGTGCGTACTTACAGCATCCAGCGCACTTTCCCCTTTCTTTGGCTCTTTATCCTTTGTCCAGAGAAATGGAAATCTCCGTAGAAAATCTCGGGTTTGTCGAGTAGTCCGAACAGAGATGGGAGTGACCCCTTCAGCACTTCTTCAGGGGAAGAGGACTGTGTATTCCGCATGTGTGGACAGTGTTAAATGCGCAACATCGACCCGAGCGCGCAGCACACGCAGGGGAGGCTGGAAACATTTGCGCTGGATTCAGGGGCTCTTCTGACCAGCGGATCCAGCACTAGAGGGGTTTACTAACGCAGGCGGGGCCACAGTCCCTCAGCGCACCTGCATCTGGGACAAACCCGCCTGAAATGGGGTTTTGTAGGATTCATGAGTGCTGAAAAATTATTTGCCATTTAAAAATGTCTGTATTAAATGTATTATTTTATAGGATTTGTATACCAAAAATATATAGATGATAATTTTACGTTGATTCTGAGACTGCAAAAGTGCCCAAAAACGTTTGTTTTTAAACTTACTTTTAACAGCCGTAAGTCTATAGAAAAGTATAATTTATAATAAAAAAGTGGGTAGGCAGACAGACAGACAGACAGATGACATGACTGATATCCGTCTCCTCTCAGCATAAGTGATGCACTGCTGTGTTGGAAAGGATCAATTAGTAAAATCTCCTGTGGTTAATCAATACGTTGAGTCAGAAAGTTTGGTATCTGCACTCTTGTACAGTGGACTATTGAGCACCACGTCCCAATCTGAGCCAAGCACTAGAAGACTGCAATGTTCTGCGCTGATAATGAATGTGCTGCATTGTGTGCGAAATAAAGGAGCAGCGAAATAAGATTTTAATAAGCATGAATAGATTTCATAATGGAACCAAGCCTGCTCCGTGTTTCTCTTTCTTCCCCTCCCTCTCTCCCATTCCTCTCCCTTTCTCTTGTTGTCTAGATGCATTAATCACTGTAACCTCCCAGATGTCTCCACCTTCATTTGTCTTTGATTTCTCCGTCAGTCAGAAGTGGGGCAGCATCTGCAGTAATAAGTCTGGCTTCTTAACCCTCGCCCACTGTACACCCTTTACAACCCACATCGTCCAGAACCCACAAAACTGGGTCTCGGTGATATAATTGGAAACTCAGGGTGATAGAAGACATTTGAAACATACTCTAGATGAGAGTCACTTACACACCCTCATGTTGTTCCAAACCTGAATTTCTCTTTATACTCAACACATACGGAAATATTTTGAAGAATGTGGGCACAACCAAAAAGTTGCATTCTGCAGTATCAAAAATCACCAACATAGCTCATTCTGAAAACATAGCACTATACATTTCAGGAGATCACGAATTATGTAGCCAGAAGTACCTATGGCTGCATTTCGTCTTTAAAATCAACGCTATGTGGCGGTATGATGCCGTTCCTTTTCTCACAGGGTGAGAATGTGGTAAAATCTGAAAACATGGTTAAAATCAGGCGAGGGCTTTTCTTTTTCTGGATTACTTTTTAAAACTGTCGGTTGGGTTAGGGAAGAGGGTGGGCAGGTCAATTGGTGCTTTTGAAAACATCATCGGTTGGGTTTAGGGAAGGAGGATGGTGGGTCAGTCTATTAGTCAGTCAAACAATCAATAAACAGCGGCCTCTGGTGGATTTACGTGAGAACAGCAGTCACAAATAGCAGTGGCGTGAAAAATTTGAAAAAAAAAAAAAGCTTACACAGGTCCTGTCACGAAACCAAAAACTGCAAAAAAAGTAGCTCCTGGGACGTATTTGGCGCTCTCCAGAAATGGATATATTGTTTTCAGAATGAGCTTGGGTTGAAACTCACAGACAGTGCTAAGAGTTGACTGTTTTATCTTGCTTGTTATGAATGTTTAAGTTTGTGCACACATACAAATGTACAGTAGGATACTTAGAACAGCTGTGTCGACTGCATGTGTACACACAAAAAATAACTACACTGTTAACAACTTTTGTAAATTACACAGTATTTAACTGTAATATAAACTGTATTTTACTGTAGGACAGTTATGCAGTATGCTACTGTATTTTAAATTTACATTGTGTACAGTAAAGCTATACAATATTGTACCGCAAGATAAAGGGGGATGTAAATGTAAATACAGTATTTTTGCTGTTATTGATTTACAGTAAGTTACTGGTGAATAGCTGCTAGTAATTTACAGTAGATTCCACAGGAATTGGTTGACAATGTATACTTGGAATTTAACTTGCATTCACATTTTAACATTTTAAACAGTAACCAGCGAATAACCCTTGTCAGAAAAGTGGCTTATTCATAGAAATTAATACAATTTTATTCATATGAAAACATACGAATTTTAATAGGAGGTGTGCCACTAAACTCCACCCCTAACCCTAGCCCTCATTGGCAGGTGAGCAAATCATACTAAAATATACAAATGAGATCGTTCAAATTATTGCAATATACATGTGAGCTCATTCTCAAAATGTAGCCCTATATACGTTTCAGGAGATCGCAAATTATGTAGCCAGAAGTACATATGACTGCATGTAGTTTTTAAAATGAACACTACAGGGCGGTATGACGCCATTCCTTTTCTCGCTTACAGTTAATCGTTTACCTCCGTGTGGACGGCATTCCTGGTGTTACCAGTTTGTCCAGTCAGCTCGCCATGTACGTCAGTGGACCATTTTTGATTCAATATTATAAGGCCATTCATTAATTTTTTTCGGCTTACTGCCGACTTATCCAGCAACCCATAACTGGGAAACACCCATACACTCCCATAAATGGAGAATTTACGCAGCGGATGCCATTTCAGCTGCAACCTATCACTGGGAAACACTCATACACTCCCATTTACACACATACACTACAGACAATTTAGCCTACCAATATTCATCTATACCACATGTCTTTGAACTGGAGCACCTGGAGGAAACCCACACAAACACGGGGAGAACATGCAAACTCCACACAGAAACGCCAACTGACCCAGCTGAGGCTTGAACCATTGACCTTCTTGCTGTAATGCAACATCGCTACCCACTGCGCCACCGCACCGCCCATTATGAGGCCACATTATTATTTTATTTTTAAAATAAAGATGTGCAAAATATTAATAAAAAAATATTGTTTATATATAAACAATATTTTATATTTTTGTTACTGGGGTTACTGGATTTTGTTCTCTGGGAATTAATAGGATGGTTGAGGTTTACTACTATCTCATGTGAATAATAGGTTGCCCCGCCCTCACACCAGTACACACATCATCATTTTGGACCCCATTTACTGTTATGAATGAAAATGTATCATAAAGTTAACTTGAAGCGCTGTTGCAAAAGCTTGTATGGATTTAATTTTTTTTTTAATTTGGGCGGGACTTTTGTCAATTAGTAATTGATTGGATGCTTAAATGGTGGTGGTTTGCTATTGGTCAATCCCATGCAAGTGCCAGTTTGCGACATCACGGCACCAATATCATCAGAGAAGCTAAAAGAGTGAGAGGAAGGTATTATTTGGATGAAAAATAATGTTGAATTTTAACATGAGACTGAGTGGCTCAGTGGCTAGCCTTGTCGCCTCAAAGCAAGAAGGTCGCTAGTTCGAGTCCCAACTGGCTCAGTTGACATTTTTGTGTGGAGTTTGCATGTTCTCTCTGTGTTTGTGTAGGTTTCCTCCAGGTGTTCCGGTTAAATTGAATAATCTAAGTTGTCTGTATAGTCTATGTGTGTGATTGAGTGTGTATGGGTGTTTCCCAGTACTGGGTTGCAGCTGGAAGGGCATTCGCTGTGTAAAACATATACTGGATAAGTTGTCGGTTCATTCTGCTTCATTATTTATCATTCCTGATGAATAAAGGAAATAAGCCGAAGGAAAATGAACGAATAAATGAACATGAGACCAGGCATAGTTCCCTCATAAACTGAAAATTCTTTCATCAGTTACTCACCATTACTTTCAACAAACCTGTTTGAGTTTCTTTAGTCAGTTAAACACGAAAGAAGATACTTTGACAAATGCTGAAAGCCTGTAACCATTGACTTCCATAGTAATTGTTCTCTACTATGGAAGTCAATGGTGTCTAACGTTATTCAAAACAACTTCTTTTGAGTTCAAGAAAGCTCTGAAACCACTTGAGGGTGAGTAAACAGTGAGGGAATTTTCATTTTTGGGTGAACCATCCCATTAAACAGACAACATTTTAAAAAATCATGTTCTTAAACGTCTCTCAGAATGTTTCTGGTTCTTATGTAACAAGATGCTTCTAGAGGGATTTTAAGGATATTTATACAAAGTTCTGAAACAAACTGTTTCCTCGCCAAGTCAATAATAGAAGCCTCTGCGATAGTATTCTTTACCTCACATTTTTCTGCCCTAGATTGGAGGGTTTCAGCTGTGAGACGCAGTGTACTATTCTGTTGCTCAGCCGGAGAGTATCAGCTGCGCCTCTGGCCTACATTAAACTGACCTGTTTTCTTATCATCATCATCATCATCATCATATATTCAGGGCTATTGATGATCGCAGCTCAACTCCTCAGAGAGCCAGATCAAAACTGCATTACTGCTAGCTTAAACCGGATGGTTATGCGCGATCAAAATGCATTATAATTTGGTCGAAGCAGGTTTGACGCAAGTTGTTTTGCATAAATTTGTTGCAAGTTGGAACACAGATCTCAAGGGGTGGACGTGGGTAATTTCACAGCAGCAGTCTGCCATCCGGTGGCCCTGCTGAAAAATGATCTCAGACGTGCAAGAAAAGTGCAGGGGGAAAGCGTATTGAAAATATGTACAGTAAATGTGTTTATTGAGCAATTTATTGTGGCTGGAGATGCGAGTTGTTGTACAGGGGGATTTCGAGACACAAGATGCAAGAGAAGGAGGAGAGTCCAAGATGGAGGTGAATGAAGAAGAGAGGAGGGGGGTTTAGAAGCACTTCCTGTGGACAATGGAGGGTCCGGCCTCTTCGTACTCATCTTTGCTGATCCACATCTGCTGGAAAGTGGACAGGGAGGCCAGGATGGAGCCGCCAATCCAGACAGAGTATTTACGTTCAGGAGGGGCAATCATCTGGAGTGGACAGAAGAGAATTGTATTACTGTCAGCACCAATATCAAAAAACAATTATAATTACAAATGAACAAAAAATAATCATTATAACAAATGTCTAAACAATGATACCATGGACATTAAATTTAAATAATCATCGCAATTTATTATTATAATTATTTACAAAAAGAATCAATAATAATAATTATAACATAGAAAATAATTACGAATGTCAAAAATTCTATGTAGATATTTTGATATT